GAAATAACATATTCTGCCCCTCGAATTTAAAACTCTTTTCTCGCTAATTTTATCATGCATTATTAGTCTCATCGATTAACGGATAAAGAATGAAATCATTGTGTGATATTCATTATATAATATGTAAATAAATTAAATATTAAATAATATTAAAATAATATTAATATATTAAAATATTAATAGATTGAAAAATATATCGTCGTTTTTATTACGTGATAAAATAAAATTGATATTAATATAAAAAATACGATAAAAGGACATTTTTATGATATTTTTATGTTTACGCTATCTCTTTACAATAATTTAATAAAATTATCTGATTTGTATGAAGTAAATAAAATTTTTACTAACTGTTGTGTATATTTTTAAAACTTTCGTGATCTATAGTTATACAATCTGAATTAAATTTTAGAATTTCAGTTAAGACAGAAACAATTGAATCAAATTATTCTTCGTGTAACTTTGGAGAATTATTCGACGAAAGTAATCGATAGACATCACTATCTGGTACACCCCACATGTCGCCAGGCATTCTGAATCTTGGACGTGGGAACTTTTTTCACTTGGCAATACGCGATCGGCTGCTTTTCATTTTTCCTTTACTTCTTTGCTCTCTCTTTCTCTTCTCTCAGTAGAAAACTTCGACAGAACTTATGCGATAACCGTCACCTCGAATCCTCCCTGCTTCTGTCGTATCGAGTCACCCATATTCCAAGAGAGCTAGAAGAAAATCGGCCATCGACGAAATTTCACGTCGGGTACCGAGCGACACTTTATTTTCTCTCAACCTTCTCTTTCGTTCTCGATCTACGGTCTCTTTTGATGTCAAAGTTTTGTACGTCTATACCACAGTAGTATTATCTCTCTCATAATAAATTCATAGCCCGCCGAGTTATAATAATGCCGTCCGGCAATACCAAACGACATTATGATGAAAAGTTTCGTGACAGTTGAAACGAAAAAAAGAGATTTGAGTAAATGCGATCTTATTAGAAGGAAGAAAAAGAGAAAGAATGGAAGAACCAAATTTATTCCTCTTTCCAAGAGTGAGGCGAAGGGCAAAGATGAAGCGCTGAAATGGCTTCACGTTTTTCTTCAGTCTTTTCCGTTTTCATTTTTCTGCCATACTCGAATCTCGCCCGGTCTGAAAAATTGCCTCTCGAAGTAAATTCATAGTGCTCCGACTTGTAATAATTTCGCATTGACATCGCGACATCGTTGTCGAACAATTTATTCCTTGGCGAAAATTCTTTTCGATGAAATGCAAAAAATTAATGACGATATATCGTGGTCAAAAGGAAAAGAAGAAAATGTAACATGTGGTTCAACATTTACTTACTGTAATATTACAGTAAGTAACGATAATCATTTTTGAAAAAAGAAAGTATGAATGTTGCTCCGAAATTTTAATATCCCAGAGTTTTAATTAATTTCACAATAGCTTTTCACAATAGCTTCTCAAGGTTGTTCGTTTCATAAAGACCTCTCTCATATTATTTCGTCGATAGTGGGTTTCTTTCTCTTTTCGAGACAATTTTCAAATTCTCCTTGGATATAAATTTCATTCACTACATCATACATAAAACTGCTTCTAAGAAAAGTTAAAGTTTTATTTAATGGAATATGTATGTTTGCAAAAACTGCTGCTTGTATTACAAATAATACGATATAAATTCTCGTATACGAACAAGTTCCTGTACTAACACAGACACGATCGCCACTTGAAATATGTACAATATTCTCAACCATGAAATCGCTCGAAAATATAACCAAAAATATTTCCCTTCCATTTCCACGCACGTGTACGCTTTAACGCGCTTCTAGCGTGTTTACGAGTTTAAGAAAAATGGATTCTAACTCACTATCCTAAGAGGAACTCCCACAGTCCGTCATAGTACTATCGAATGAACATTTCCTCGCGTTTTTCTTTTAACTTGACATCAATGCCAATGAATAACTTTCTCGTTTCCCCAAGTGGCTTCTGTTCTATATAAACTGATTTTTCTCATGTTCGAATTATTATACGAATATTATATCTCTGTCGCTTTACGGTCTGAAATATTTTAGTTTTTACGCTACATCATCAAGAGAATCTTTGATTTTCCTATGCTCTTTAAAATGCCAATTTTCGAAAGTTTTAAGCATCAATTTTTTTTCTACAATATTTGATTTTTTTCCGAAATATTTTCGTCGCTCTTTGACTTTTACGAAATCTCTCGTTACAAGTGGAAACCATAAAAAAATCATAGCAATCAACCTATGAACTCACTACTTTCGTAACGGATTTCACAGTTGGATTTCACAACCGTGCGACAGTTAAAGCTCAAAGAACTAGTTGCGTTGTCACAACTCGTTCGAGAAGAGGTCGGACATCGCATTCGCGCATTCTCGTACAATGGAGAACAATTTTCCGAGGGTGAAACCTGATGTTACCCGGATGGTAAAGCCGTGCGAGGCACGTGAGTCTGTGCAGGATACAAGCGCGTTGGAGTTCGCTAAATCGAAATTCCATCCTCCCACGGGTCATACTCGTGTGGATCGTCCTCAAAACGGAAGTGTCCACTGTTCCAGTTCCGCGATTTGGTCGATAAATAAAAATTGATTGAATGCTATCATTCTCCTGTGATTCATTCGTGTAACTCGCAATTTTGTCATGCCATGAAGTCAACTGAAGGGAAAACTATGTTTGTTGTGTTTTTGTGAAAACAAGATTGTAAAAAAGTAAACAATCAGAGGTAAATTTTATTATCAATCTGAAGCTATTTATTCATTCTTTTAAAAAAATAAAGATAATTTAAAATTATTTTAAATTATCTTTATTTTTTTAAAAGAATGAATAAATAGCTTCAGATTTATAATAAAATTTACCTCTGATTGTTTACTTTTTTAAAATTTTATTAACATGCTTGTTAGACCATTTCAACGACAATAGAAAAAACTTGGCGAGAAACTACATTGTGGAGAATTAATTTTTTAATAATTCTTTATGGGGGAGAGGGGCTTTATGTAAATACTCCTGTTTTTAATGACGGCATATTCATTTTATTTAATATGTTGTTTGGCTATATTACAGTTCCATATATGTGTAATTAAATCATCTTCTTAATGAATTCATTTTCTTAACTCTATTATATCTAAAGTTATAATTTTACAAGATATAAACTAATTAGAGTTAGTTGACGCAACTGAAAATGTATCGTGTGTTCTTGAGCTGGCCCGGAACCAACCAATTAGCATTTAAATGCCAACGCCACATCATTGCAATTTGTTCTTTCGTATGCGTATATGCGAATTTGCATTGCAAGTTCGTAAGCTTGTAAGTACACACCGTGGACTGTTTATCTTTAACGAGATACCCGTAGCTCGATCTCAACCCGGATTCGAGGTCGAGCAAAGCGAGGCGGAATGAATTTCGGACGGAGCTGAACCCTTCGGGACAGCAGAGTGGTCGGTTTGTTCCGAGATTATCGAGAAAACATCGCCGATAAAACGGCAAGGAGGTACTGCTCCCGCGAGATTTCCGTCGACAATTCCACCGAGGCGAGGCGTAGTTGCGAAACTTTCCCCGGCTTACAATCGACTGCTACAGGTCGAAAATATCCTCCCTTTTTTTTCTCTTTTTTCCTCCGTGCCCGCGCACGATTTCCATTGCGCTCGAATCGCGTTTGCAGAGATAAATCCTCGTTCTCACCGGTGGAAACTGTTGGCTCGACGCGGAAAAGCCTCGGTCGATTTCTCTTCGTCGACGATCGCCGACACGATCGACAGGGAGAAAGGATGGGCGGTCGTCAATCGGCGATCGCGTCTTCCTCGAGGAGGAGGCGCTCGTCGACGCCGTCCACGAACGGACGCGATGAACGAGAACGGATCATTGAGCACAGGTGGGCTACGACTGTTTCAGGAGTGACCATCTTGCTATCGCTGACGGTGTTCCTGAACCTCGTCGCCGAAACTTTGCCCCAGGTCTCCGACGCAATACCCCTGTTAGGTACAATTGAGTTTCTACACAGAGCGAATGTCAGAGTATTAAACTAACGAGTATTATCGGTTCACTACGAATGGAATCAATTCTGACGTATAGAAACCGTGAAAGTTTAGCCGGATCTTCGGGGAGGCTTCGTACGTGAATATTTGAGAGAAGCGGATATCTTTTATGCGTTTATATTTTTCATGAAAGATTTTCGTCCGCTTAAAGTTGAATCACGAAGATTGAAAAATACAAAATATTATTATTCCGAATTTTCCAATCCATCTCTTCTACATTTTTAATTCGTGTAAAATCGATAGTTTCTTCTCTCTCGTAAAAAATAATGTTGTTATGTCATGTTGCGGTATCAAATGTAATATTTTGCGTGCCGTTTGTTGATATTAAGATGTTAGAACAGCGAATATAGCAATTCTTTAAAACGCTCTCATTTTTCGCTTACGTAGCTCCATGAGCGATCGAGAATTTCCGGCTGACAAGTATATTATACGTACATATTATCTATGATATTACAAGAAGCACTTTAATCCCCCCGAAGATCTCATATGACGATATCGCAAACGGGTGTGGCGCCTTGCAGCTGAAACAAAAGTGCTCTCCCGTATCAAAAGAAGAATTGAAAATCATGGAATATTCGAAAGGCGTGTGGAAGAGAAAACTCGTTGTTGCTGGTTCTATTCTATAAAGTTATTTTAACAAGAAGCGTATCGGGGTAAACAAACATTCGCCCTGCACTCGTTTGTTTCTTACATAAATCCGCTGACGGGGAAAGATAGGAGAAGAAGCAGAAATATATAGCTTTTGAAAATCCCTATGAAACTGAACCGTCTAATTTGTATCAAGATATAAAACCAAATTCTAGTTTTGAAGCACGGATAGATACGTAATCTCGAAGAGAGATCGTTTTATATTATTGCTCGCGAGAACATGAAAATGACTGCCGAAATTTGCAGAGTTTGAGGGAAAGAAAAAGATAACGCGCTTCTGTTTCTGGTTTTTTTTTAATTGGATATTAAATTAATTCAAAAAACGTGGAGAACGATTGAATTTACATTATTTGTAAAATTGAATTGAAAAAATATTAATAAGACATAATATAATTGGAATAAATATTTTTTTACATTATATGAGCATATAATAATTATTATTTTTTTAAATATCGTATTCGCATACATTATTATTATTATTTTTATATTATCGAAAAATGTTGCAAACACGTGAAGTAATTCGAGAGATCTGTTATCTTTCGTCGCTTGACAATCGCCATTTCAGATATAACTCTTCACAAGTCATAAAAATTCCACGAAATGGAAAAGTTCGGTTGTAACAGTAGATACCCAGATGTCGATCTACAAAGTTTGCGAGAAATAATAAGATTGTCAAGGAAGGAGGAAGAGAAGGAACGACCGCCGAAAAGACGCCTTCAGAGAAGTCAGGAAATAGACAAGAAGCATGGAAGGAGCCAAAGTACGTTCCTAGTTGTTATTGCCAAAAACAAAAGTCGATGAAAGAAAAGAAGATAAAGACGACAGATATAGAGTTATTGCTTTTTCGGTGCGACTCTGAGATTCTCTCGTGCTAACTCCGATCAGCTTTAATTGAATAAGTTTGAATTAAACCGACAATGCAGAAGAACGACGCCGTATTCAGCATACTTCCATAAATCAGCATTTTGTCTTTGCTATAGCTGGCGGAACCTTCGTTTCTCACCGTTTCTTTTTCAAGCAAGGTAATTTCTATCAACATGTGTTTTTATAATCTAGACGCTGCTCTCTTTTACATTTATAATCAATCCCGTTTTACAAGCATTGTGTGAAAATTATACTAGAAAAATATTAAAAAATACGAATATTTAATCCTCCGCAGCTAACGCCGAAATCTGTAATACAGTTATTGATGTTGAATCTGTAAGACTCATTTAATTTATGTTGACTAAAAATAATTCACTAATTAATTTTAAAAAATCAAAATGATATAATTCGTATAAAAAAAAGTGTATGAGTAAATTATTTTCATAACTAAACTTGTTTTAATAATAATAATTCGAGTTTGCAGATATAACGTAAAGAATATAATTAAATGAATTCACTAGATTCTCCGTCAATTTGGAAGTTTAAGGATCTATAATGTCAAAGCGCGCATTACTAAAAATATAAAAATTTATAGATTGTTCTATTTATTACATCTGAATGATTGTATCAAATTTGAGCACAATTTTCTTATTGGTTTAAAAGTTATTTAATTTTTTTGTTTGCCTTGATTTTTACATAAAACTGCGTTTGTAATACTTATTTACAAATTTGTTGAGAAAATAGCATTACGAGTTAAATCAAATCTCTTTATGTACATTGATAAACTAATAAATATTTATGCAAAAATTTATTTAGATCCATTCACTTAAGTTTATTTACCTAAAAATGTAACAAAATATGGCGCTATATAAACCATGGTAAACCAAATTATTTGTTGTTTTGTTTTTTGCAATTGATTGCAGAGCGTATATAAGACCAAAATTTTTTAGTTGATATTGATTGATATTGATTTATTCTGATTGATTTTTTGACCGATACTTTTAGCTGATATATACAAAACAGCCTTAATTATTCATATTTTCAAGTGTTATCATACCATATCCATTTTGCTTTCAATTAATGAATCTCTAATATAATTTTAAATCTAGAAATATTGTGTACATTATAAATTTGTTAAAATGTCACATCTCTTATTATAATTATTAATTTATTGCTGTTTTAATATTACTATGTGGAATAATTTTGATTTCAGTTTGTTACGTATTTCAATTTGAAACAAGCAAAGATCGAAAACGTTATTGTTTCTATTAGTGAAGTAAATTAACTAATATTAAAAAAGTTATTACATTACAACTAGTATTTGCTCCTTTTCGATCGCTTTTTTTTAATTTGCTTAGAAATATGTATTTTGCTTTTTATGTAGATGTTTACAAATTAAATCTCACGTGCAAGTCACGGAAAGCTCATTTGAGAGTCGTATGTCATCGTCCACCGCGAGAGCTGATCGTAGCTGTCAATTCGTTAGTTCTCCCCTGTCCCCGCAGTCCATTCTCTTTTTTCGGTATTTGCGCCCGCCATCCATTTTACGCGGTTGACGCCTTGACGATTTTATCAAGCCACGCTGATCGAAGTAAATTAAAACGCGTCAATCGCCCTATCATTACGGATTCGTTGTCAATGTTGCGACTTTATAATTGGCAATGTGCCTTTACCCTCGCGCGGCATGCCGACTGTATCGATACAATAATACGAGAGCTGTCAAAGAATTGGCCGCATATCTTTTCGGCAGTGCTGACACTCTCGTGAGCGAGAGTCTTCTCTGTCCTTTGCAAAATTAATTAACAGCAGTTCAGAATAGGTCAAAACAAGTCCTGCGGTTTCTAGAAAGGAGGGAACCAGGATTGCCGAGAAGACAGCTGCTGGGAATTAATATCTGTCGGCCGTCCACGGACGAGAAAAACGACGCTGTCGGACTGGCGTCCATCGATTTCCGTGACGCGCTTTTGCATCCGCGTCGTTACGTCGAACTCGTCGTCAGGCAAGAAATCCGATGCGCCCTCGTGTAACAGCGCGCGAGACAGCGTTGCAGCTCGGACATCTTTTTGTAGCTCATCGCTCGTGCTTTACACATTGTACACTTCGTACGATCCTCAAGCTATTTTCTAAATTTCCATTGTACATCGGACACTGTTATTATTCGTCGAAAAATATGTAATATTTTTACCTTACACATTTTTCACAGATATGGTAGTAGTTTTTTCTTTTACAAAAAATATCAATGGCAAATTAAAAAAAAAGAGAACGAAAATGTTCTCTAATTTAATTTTAAATTTTTATGGTTTTAATTTCGTTTCGATGTAGTTCTAATAAAAGAAAAAGAGAGCGGCGTCAAAATAAATTCTCATTAAGAACAATCAACGCAAAATTGATCAAAGGATTTATAGTTCACTTGTATAAAGCAGTTATTTAATTTTTTCCTTTGTTAAATTGCATTTCACGCGAATGTATTTCAGAGCTCGGCAAGATGCCGCATGCGTGCGAGAAAATTCATATTCCGAGGGACATTTTTTGTAGAAGTTTTAGGTATTTCCTCTGCTATTATACGACAAAATGTACTTCTCAACGAAGAGAGCACTTGACGTGTAGCTAAAACGCGCGCGCACCAACTGACACGATGACGAAGTTCTCTGCAAGTTCGCAAAGTGCTTGCTAATTAGCAAATTCGATGCAAAGCACGTTCGAAACGTATAAGGCACGTTATCCTTTTATCGCGCACGGTCACTCGATTGCTATACTTATCCCTCGAGGACATCGTAAAGCGCCATGATTAAATGCACAGGCGACTCATGTAGAATTCGAGGACTTGCGTCGACATAGATAAAAATTACATGCGGGCAGAATGCAAACTACAAAAAAATACAACCAGTTGGGTTCAAGTATCGAGTCCCTATTATACGATACTTCTTATTCATTTTATTATATATGTATATTCGTTCATGTTGCGTATTTCTCTCCTTATAAAAGTTGTAGGGTAAATGTCTTAATGATCGAATTAATAAAAAGGTATGATTTGTCCTTTATTATTACTGAATAATAATTAGTGGTATTATAAAAAAATTTATGAAACTTTTTGTCGGTCATCAAAAAATACTAACACAAATCTAAAAAAAATGTTTAAATGAAATTTCATATAGATATATTATATCATACCGATTGTTTCACAGTAACTATAAACTGAAATTTTTTAATTTAATTTTCAATTTTTTACAATCACAAAAAATACTACATGTTTAGAATACAGTACAATATTAAAAAATCCAAAAGTGTAAACGCTATGTCTTACTCAAGAAAAAGACGAATGAAAGTACGACTATCCTTCCCGGGTGGAAATTTCGACCTGGCGCTATATGGGAAGGCTAGCCTGGGGCTATACTGGGCGGTAATGGCAATAATGATCAGCCCCAATATTGG